ACTCTGACGACAAGAAAGACAGAGTTTCAATTTTTCAAATTTATCAAAATATCTTCTCAAACACGGAAAATTTAAAAACTTTCTTCCGTGTTATGCTTATCCAACAGCTTAAGGTCCCAAACGTTTGGTAGCAAACAGTCTCGTGATTATTAGCTCTCATTTAATTAATATTAATCCGTTTTGTCTTATTTGAACAGAGTAAGTAGGATTTTTAGAACTGAGCGAGGGAAAGAGACTCCAAGAACTTAGGTTAAAAAAACCAAATGCGCACTTTTAAAACTAAACTAATTACTTTGAAGGTTATTTCTTTTGGGTAAATTACGAAAATGTCTGTCTTAATATCAACGGGCAGCTATATTTCAACGAAAATAAAACAATTCTCAACAGACAAACAAACTATGCCTTTAAAACTTTACTTAGGTTCTTTGCGTGAGTTTAGCTTTCAAAAGCGAAGAATGTCGAATCTTTTAGGGTTTTTTCCCTCTTTTTTTCTCTCTTCAAATAATTTTAATTATGGTTATTTCAATTTTTTGTATTAATTAATAAATAATGTACTGTATTAATTATTAAAATAAATTTGTATTGAATATCTTTTTTTTTTACTTGATAGTAGTGCTTTTGAAGATTATATAATACTTCACATACCATTTCCATCGTTTGAGTGGGGCTAGCTAAACAGACCCTTGTATTTTTTTTTTTTTTTTTTTTTTTTATTGCTTAGATGGGTGGACAAGCTCACAGCCCACCTGATGTTAAGTGGTTACTGGAGCCCATAGACATCTACAACGTAGACGCGCCACCCACGTTGAGATACAAGTTCTAAAGTCTCAGTATAGTTACAACGGCTACCCCACCCTTCAAACCGAAACGCATTACTGCTTCACGGCAGAAATAAGCAGGGCGGTGGTACCTATCCGCGCGGACTCACAAGAGGTCCTACCACCAGTAAACAAGAGGTCCTACCACCAGTAACAAGAGGTCCTACCACCAGTAGCAAGAGGTCCTACCACCAGTACAAGAGGTCCTACCACCAGTAACAAGAGGTCCTACCACCAGTATATATATATATTTCTTTTGACATCATGTTACGTGCGAATTAGAAATAACTAAAATAGAGTTATTGTATGTACTTTCTCAATATTTGCAGTTGACGGTTTATATTTAAAGATTCATGCGACTATGTATAGAAATTGCCATAATTATTAGTGTGTAAATTTTGTCAATGTACGCTAACCTATTTATCTGTGATGTATCTATAATATGTAACAGGTATTCTGATATACCAGACTATTAGTCTAGCTACTAAGGGTTTCATTTATGCCTCTCTAAAGGCTGCATTCGTAATTCTCGCGCGTAATTTCGTACTAATCTTCGCTTTCAACGACGGCAAAATCCGTATTGACTACCGAAAAACTGAATTGAATTGACAAAAACTATACTATGCTATTATATTTGTTATGTTAGTTTCTATATATTTAACAGATTGCGTTTCTAATAATTAGTTAGAAACAGCACATATTTTTCTGGTTCAGTGTCCTATAGTCGACTTTGGCGGACTTTTTTTTTTATTGTTTAGATGGGTAGACGAGCTCACAGTCCACCTGGTGTTAAGTGGTTACTGGAGTCCATAGACATCTACAGCGTAAATGCGCCACCCACCTTGAGATATAAGCTCTAAGGTCTCAGTATAGTTACCACGACTGCCCCACCCTTCAAACCGAAACGCATTACTTCTTCACGGCAGAAATAGGCGGGGTGGTGGTACCTACCCGTACGGACTTACAAGAGGTCCTACCACCAGTAATTACGCAAATTATAATTTTGCGGGTTTGATTTTTATTACACGATGTTATTCCTTCACCGTGGAAGTCAATCGTGAACACTTGTTCACTATTTCGGACTTGCACTATTATACTAATAGTACACTATTTCGGACCCCAAAAGGCCTTTGTGTTGGAATAGCCTCACTTCCCATAGAGAAATGTAGAAAAAACAATCTGAATCCCACATGGTGCAAATCGCTACACATTCACACAAAATGGAGACATATTTTCCTCAGATCGTTGCTTTCATAAGTCAATCCCCATGGAAAAGGGTATTACTATGTTTATTGTCGAGCCAGAGTTGACTTCTATGTTACATATTCACATTTCACTATGTTTAATAAACTCACAATTCAGCGAGCTATTGAGTTTTTTGTTTGTTTTTGTTATGAATATGTTTTATTCCATACGATTACTACATTTTAGATTTGTTAACAATTACAATTTTTTTATTAACATGTAAATTCTGAAAATGATATTACCTTAATTAATTATCATACTAATAACCTTTTTTTTATTTGTTAGATGGGTGTTAAGTGGTTACTGGACCCCATAGACATCTACGACGTAAATGCTCCACCCACATTGAGATATGAGTTCTAAGGTCTCAAGTATAGTTACAGCATTCATGGATTATAATTATTATAATAACTACAATACTTATGTCACGGTTACCTCCAATGGAACAATTTATATTAAAATTCCCAAACACACAATGCTGTCAATCATAACAAAACAAATGAAGGTGAACATAATTGTCACCTATAAATTTAGATTTGTAATGAACGGGACATGGTGTATTGTGAGCCCACATAGGTATTCTGTCTCGGCGCACACCCTGTCTATCTTTTGCGAAGTACTCATATATATGTACATATACATTTTTTCCTACCAATTCGTTGGTAGATTGGTAGCTACGCTCGGATGAATAGGTCAGCTCACGGGCTCAACCTCAGAGAAGTTGCTAACACTAGCCCTAGCAAGAGCAGTGCTTCGCAAAATCTACCAATGGATCTAAATCGCGACCCACTGAGAAGATCCGGCGAGAAACTCAGTGGGCTGTGTCTATGAGTTAGTTCGCTCGTCGAACCGTTCGATGAGGACGGTGACCGGTGCTTGAAGAGATTAAAAACACCGAGAGACGATCCCGGGATCCGACAAGGCATGCTTCGGGCGACAACGGATTTACGTTGCCCAGTTGCAAAAAAAAAAAGTCGTGAGCACATGTACAAGTTCAACAGCATATTTAATACAACAGTTTTTCTTTTTAATACTCTTTTATTAGCTTCATGCGTATGTTAGTAGGACCTATATTAGTCGGAACGGAGTAGTTAGTAACGGAATCTTTGAACATGATTTTGACCCTGTTCAAAACGTCGGATTAACTAGAAATACTTATCAAGGACCGATGATAAATCAATATTTTAAACAGTTAGACCCGTTATTTAGTTTCGGCAGTCAAAACAACAAATTCATTTGAGTGCCTTCTTTTTTCACTTAGCAAATTGGAAACTGATGTATTTGCCTGAATGTACATACATTAATGAATAATTTATCATACATATTATTGCTACTTAAACTCTAAAATGAAAAACAAATAACAGTTTAAAAGAAAAACTAAAAAACACGCTTTAATAGAAAATCCAGCAAAAAATAGAAAATAAGTTTATTTTGTAAAAAAAAAGCGTGATGGCGCCACTAACCGTACATCTGATCACTTTATTGCGACCGTGATGAAAGTCTTCGCAAATAAGGTCATTTCTCGAAGAAGAAGCATGAACTGACCTCCCAGGAGTTCAGATATTAGTCCTTTAGATTATTCTTCGTGGGGATACTTAAAGAGTTTTTACTGGTGATAGGACCACTTGTGAATCCACGCGGATAGCTACCACCACCCCGCCTATTTCTGCCGTGAAGCAGTAATGCATTTCGATTTGAAGGGTGGGGCAGCCGTTGTAACTATACTTGAGACCTTAAAACTTATATTTCAAGCTAGGTGGCGCAGTTAAATTGTAGATGTCTATGGGCTCCAGTAACCACTTAACACCAGGTGGGCTGTGAACTCGTCCATCCATCTAAGAAAAAAAAAGAGTATTGTTAACAAAACAAACCCACAACTTTGGTGCAATTGAAGCAGAACCTCATCACAGAAATGGCAGCTATTCCGAGTATGGTGTGTCAGCGAGTTTTGAACAATTTACGTGGACGATTGGAGGAGTATTTGCAGCGTGAGAGAAGACATTTAAACAACATACTACTACAACAAGTCTACTGGTGGTAGGTACAACATACTACAACAACTCTACTGGTGGTTGGACCTCTTGTGAGTCCGCGCAGGTAGGTACCACCACCCTGCCTATTTCTGCCGTGAAGCAGTAATGCGTTTCGGTTTGAAGGGTGGGGCAGCCGTTGTAACTATACTGAGACTTTAGAACTTGTATCTCAAGGTGGGTGGCGCGTCTACGTTGTAGATGTCTATGGGCTCCAGTAACCACTTAACACCAGGTGGGCTGTGAGACCGTCCACCCATGTAAGCAATAAAAAAAAAATTCCAATTATTTAAATAATGAAAGATAAATATCTTTCATAGTATTAATAACCGTTTGGTAAAATATTAGTTGATTTTTTCTTTATTTGTCTTAGGCCCATACCTAACCTGGACACCCTGTACATTTACAAGGCTGACTCTAAATCATTTGCTGTAATTAAGAATAATGTTAAATAATAGTGAGAAAAATCCTTTTAACTTAAATAGCAAAAGTAACCGGGATCCGCTATGAGTAATACAGTGACTACAAAAATCTTTACTTTTATTTCGAAGTTTTTAATAAATATATTTTTCAAGAAATCCTTATCCTCCTTCGGTATTCAATACGCGCATGTAGCAACCATGTTCTTAATATAAGCTAAAACAAAACATTTACACCACGGCTGCTATAAGTGAGGATAACCTCCAATCATCGTGTGCCCTATATGCTGGGCGGCCGTCAAAAGCAATAAATATTCCACATTTTAATCATATACATACATATATTTATTTTATTCACGCAGACAAAACATTATGAGAACATGGAATAATATTTGTATATTATCAGAAAAACATGTTTTAGTTCTAAATATTCTCACTAAGTTAGTTCAGCAAAATTTCGAATAACAATGATTAAATTATTAACAGTATTATATAATTGAACTAAGAAACGAAAGCCAGATTTTTAAAAGTGACTTTGGTTTCTCTTTCCATAGATTCAGGTCGATAGTTGGAATTTCTTCGCATGGGACCAGTTTGTTTCTGTAAAGAAATGAAGACACTTGATTATATTTATAGCTAAGAAAAAGGTAAAGATACACATTTACTATGTAAAAGATACAAACGATTGAGTTATCGGTCAATGGTTGTACGGCTCTAAAAAACCACAATCGAAAACACTAAATTTGATTATCTTGCCAGACAAACCAAAGCGCAAGATTCATTTGCCATCGTTAATTTGCCTGGTATGCAAGAGGTCCATACATATATATGTATCTCTTGCATACCAGGCTTTACTGGGATTGATGGGAAGCTGTTAACATCCCTACTCTCGTAAAGAATTTTGCCATTTGTTTTTAATATTAGAAATTAAAGCATTTGTTACGATTAATGTAATAAGCATTTTTTAATACTTCTCGGATATCTTCTCGAAGGGATTTGGTTGCATCTTTTGTATACCCTTCACGTTGTCACAGAATAATCGCGCCACCGACGATCCTAATCGAATACTCTGAAGCTGCTCTGTAATTATAATAAATAATCATTTTATATATATAATTTATGTAATGTAATACGTACTTAACAAATGTTCACGATTGACTTCCACGGTGAAGGAATAACATCGTGTAATAAAAATCAAACCCGCAAAATTATAATTTGCGTAATCACTGGAGGTAGGACCTCTGGTGAGTCCGCACGGGTAGGTACCACCACCCTACCTATTTCTGCCGTGAAGTAGTAATGCGTTTCGGCTTGAAGGGTGGGCTAGCCGTTGTAACTATACTTGAAACCTTAGAAATTATATCTCAAGGTGGGTGGCGCATTTACGTTGTAGATATCTACGGGCTCCAGTAACCACTTAACACCAGGTGGGCTGTGAACTCGTCCGCCCATTAAAGCAATAAAAAAAAATGAACTTACCTAAAGTAAATGCAATTTTTTCATTTTCTCCGTTTTCATAAAAGTATCTATCACCGACGCGTGTGTTGTAAAATTGCTTTAGCAATATACCGAGAAACGTTGGTCCGACTTGAGTGTTCTTTTCTTGTATTTCCAAAGATCCGGCGACACTCAGTTCTACATCATCAATGCTTGGGTACAGTTCTGATAATTTTTCTATTAGCTGCGAAATAAATAACAATTTAGCGTCCTGAACTCATGTCCTTATTCAAGCGAGTGTTTAACGAGTGTTAAACTAAACGTGGGTTTCACACTGGCTATTCCTACATCCAATCACACTTGGAGAGTATTAAGCGGTAGGCAGCGACTTGGCTCTGCCCCTGGCATTGCTGAAATCCATGGGCGACGGTAACCACTCACCATCAGGTGGGCCGTATACTCGTCTGCCTACAAGGGCAATAAAAAAAACCACTATGGACTATATAGAACAATCTCAAAATCACAGCATTTTTGTTGAGAAACACGTCGGTTACCGCTATACACCAGAGCGAACACGACAACAGTACGAATCCTTAGTATTTTAGTCCTCAAGTCATAGGGCTAGTTTAGAATCGAATAGAAGATAAAAGTCACCAAAAACTCTGGCCTTTTTTATTTTTTTTATAGCTTAGATGGGTGGACGAGCTCACAGCCCACTTGGCGTTAAGTGGTTACTGGAGCCCATAGATAGTTCTAAGGTCTCAATATTGTTACAACGGCTGCCCCACCCTTCAAACCGAAACGCATTACTGTTTCACGGCAGAAATAAGCGGGGTGGTGGTACCTACCCGTGCGGACTCACAAGAAGTCCTACCACCAGTAAAGGGTCTTCGAATTTTAGAATAAAACATTTGTTGCGTAACTTACGTCATCGGGTATTAAACCAACCAGGTCGTCGAATGCTTTGGGCACGTCTAGGCCCAGTACCGCCCGAGTATTCACATAAGTACCAATACCGTGGTCACGACCGCGTTGGATGTCTATAGCTCGTAAATCAGTACCCAATTCATTACTCCCTCTGAAAAAATCATTCGCTAATTTGACTTGACTGACTCAGTGGTGCAGTAATTAGCGCCCCTGACTGTTGCGCGGAGGGTCGTGGGTTCGATTCCCACATCGAGCAAACTTTGTTTGATGAACAGGTTTTTTTTATCCTTGTCTGGTTGCTTATTATCTATTTAAGTATATATTTAAACGTATATAAGTATGTTTGTCTGTCTCTGGTACCCATAAAACAGGCTCCTAAATTCTGGCCTTATCAATTTGAAATAATAACAGAGCTCAAATTGCTTTAATTTTAAATATCCCTTTCCCAGTTTCGACATTCTTATTTACATAAATATTCTGAAGGATTGGAAGCGAAACGTCTTGAAATGTGGGGTCTTAACTGTCCTGTCTCATTTCTGTAATTTTGGTGACTGATTTAATGGTATGCTTGTGATGCTCTCCGTGTCCTTATGAGACCGTTGATTCTGTGAATCAACTATGTATTTATTATTTACGTACATTAAATACAAAACAAAAACAACAAAAAAAACACTCAATATTTTCTATAGAACATGATTTTTATCAGCTATCAACGTTTCCGAGAAATATTCCATTTTTTTTTATTGAAGTGTAATCAGGCGAATATACTGCCGGCATAATTAATGTTTTACGTCACTCGTGGACGTCAGTAATGCCAGGGGCATAGTTAAGACGATACCTACGGCAAACCTACACATATTACTTTTAGAATGCCTAATTAAACTTAATAAGGTGTAACACGTGTCTCGGAAACATATAATTAGTAATCTAAGACACGAGAAATTTAGCCCGTTGATCTGAAAATAAATAGAAACCTTATATGTAACAGCGAATTAGCTATTATTCTGTCTTAGTCATTTAACTGGGACCATTTAGGATAATATACCCGGAGGATTTAGCAATCTTAACATCTTAAAACATGCGTTTTGAGCATTTCCCTATATGGGTTTCTGTTGTTTAAGCGAGAGTGGTACAAATAGTTTTTTCTCAAGCGAAAAACGATATTATACATAGCCTAAATAGGTCTAACTTTACTTACTGGTGGTAGGACCTCTTGTGAGTCCGCGCGGGTGGGTGCCACCACTCTGCCTATTTCTGTCGTGAAGCGGTGATGCATTTCGGTTTGAAGGGTGGGGCAGTCGTTGTGGGGCATTTACGTTGTGGATGTCTATGGGCTCCAGTAACCACATAACACCAGGTGGGCTGTGAGCTCGTCCACCCATCTAAGAAAAAAAAAGAGTATTGTTAACAAAACAAACCCACAACTTTGGTACAATTAAAGCAGAACCTCATCACAGAAATGGCAGCTATTCCGAGTATGGTATGGTATCTAAGCAATAAAAAATAAATAAAAAATAAACTTGATTCTATTAAAATAATAAAACCTACGCTTAACGCCGAGTGTAAAAATATATGTTCGTCTGCAAATATAAATAAATTTTTTGTTGTTTCAAATTTCGTGTAACTTATTTGAAATTAACTCCGGGCAATGAACGCAATATCGCTGAAGTTCATGATGCGGTTGTTGACTTGTGATTTACTATGACAACAGCCGAGTATCTCAACCGATTTTAAGCTTTAAAGACAGCGTAGAACATTATATGATGTCTTTTATGATCAAATTTTCTTTAAAATTAGACAACAAAACATACGCATACTTACTCTTTTTTTTATTATTTCGGTTATGAAATTCAAACATACCTTTCAAAATATTCTGTTAATTCCACATCGTAATATCTATCATTGGCTCTTTGGTGTTCAATAGTCAAGCCCAAAGACAGTTCAAGGAAATTATTGTTCATTTCGATCACTGAAGGATCGTCCAACCAGTCACTAAGCCTAATCGAGTCAGCTTCTTTACGGTTTTTAAGGTATTTCCTAAAAAAAATCCAGAAAATTATGTCTTTTAAATCAATAAGCCCAATAAACTGAATATTAGACGTTGTAAATTTTAGTTAGAGGGAGAAAAACAACACAAATCTAACTTTCCTAATTCAGTCTAATCTAGATACTAAATATTGTCAACGTATCAAGTAAATAATGGTAAACCAACGTATGTATTTCTTTTTTCATTAATAATTGTTGTCATCGTGGCCTAAAGGATAAGACGTCCGGTGCCTTCGTGTTGAGCGATGCACCGATGTTCGAATCCCGCAGGCGGGTACCATTTTTTCTAATGATTTCATTACACAACAAATGTTCTCGATTGACTTCCATGGTGAAGGAATAACATCGTGTAATAAAAATCAAAACCGTAAATTTTAATTTGCGTAATTACTGGTGGTAGGAACTCTTGTGAGTCCGCACGGGTAGGTAGTACCACTCAACCTATTTCTGCCGTGAAGTAGTAATGCGTTTCGGTTTGAAGGGTGGGGCAGCCGTCGTAACTATACTTGAGATCTTAGAACTTATATCTCAAGGTGGGTGGCGCATTTACGTCGTAGATGTCTATGAGCTCCTGTCGCCACTTAACACCAGGTGGGCTGTGAGCTCGTCCACTCACCTAAGCAACAAAAAAGAATTTTAATAATTAAAAATATTTACATGTTTCATGTATTCTATGTGCTCCTATGCCACTTATCTTATTGTGATGAAACTTGGTACACAATTGTGGTTGACACTCAATGTAAAATTGATGTCCGAATTTAAAAAAATATATATTTTTCATACAATTAACGATAGTCCCAGAATAGCAAATTCGCTAGTATTCTTAAAATTTAGTAAACTTTCAATTAGGATTCACTATTATATTTAAACCAAATAGATCTAATTCGGTTGTATTACACCCAATAAATTGACAATTTATTCACCTTGAGCATTACAGACTTTTTTTTTTACAACGCAACAGACGGTTTATTGCATTAAAAAAAAAAATTTAACTTACTCTAAGTGTCCATACACGGAGCTATGAAAAAATCTGTTGGCGGCTGTGGCGTGTTCGTTAATTATAGACGGGTTAATGTTCGGATCGTAATCATTTACGTATTTTTGTTCGTCTGGGTATATTAATTTATGTTTAACCATGTTCTCGGCACCTATGAAAAACAAAGGAACATATAAATAGCAAGAAGAAAACTAAATTTCAAATGAAGACCGTTTGCAAAAAATTTTTTTTTGTTGCAGACTAAGCATAAATTCATTTTTAAAAAAATTAAAAAATAAATTTATGATTCAAACATAATATTGAAGTAATCAATAAATTACTAAGCAAACATTGAATAATTTTATTTAAATTAAAATTTTACGGTATGTACGTAATAATATACAGTGTTCCGATAATCGTTAAAATCGTATTATTTCAAGAGGCCCCAAAGTATTAACTTGAAATAAATTACTACGAAATTTAACGAAGTTACGCGCGGAGAAGTGCTACACTTGGAAATTGATTTATTATAAGAATAACAATTTTCGAAGAACAAATATGATATGAAACAGAAATTACATCAAAATATTCTATAAGTCGTTAAAACTCTCTCATTTTGAATATGGAAAGAAATGGGCAATAATATAATGAAAGTATGTCTATTTAGATACGGGAAGATTCACGGATCGACCTTATGTTAGTTAGATACTAGTACTTCGATCACAGACTCTCTGGGAATTACCGAAACCGATTGATCCCAAAGCATGAATATCACCGCGCACAATAACATATTACAAATATCCAATATTAGTTTCATACAAAAGATTGATTCTTACCTAGAAGTATTGGTAAATACTCATAATAACTGATATGCTGAAACATTGCTATGAGGATTCTTCTTGTTTCTTGGAACACTATTTCATCTGTCCAAAGGGGGTTTAATGTTGATAGAATGTCTGCTATTCGATTATGTTCACGAAGCAATACTACTTGAAGTATCGATAATTGAGGATTCTGGTTTACTCGGGGATCACCTTTAAAATTCAAATAATCAAGCAAATTTAGTACACTATTGGGAAATAAAAAGAAAATAAAAATCCTAAGCAATAAACAAGCGAATAACAAAATATTACGTTGGTTGAACTTTACAACATAGCTGCCGTTTGTACTGATTTTTGAAATCCTTTATTTGTTTTATTGAATGATCTGCCAGTTGATGTTGGACAACAGGTTGATAGTCAAATATAAAATTTCGAGAAAGGCCCTAAACATAATGTCATTGTTTAAATTTAGTTTAATTTTGTTTTGTTTGTAAAATTTTGATTCGTTGTTGTTTGGTAATTATTTAACCACTCATATTTGTTGTAATTCAACAACAGATCACACCAAAATGCATATTTGTGGGACTACAGAGCGAGTTATGAATGTTATTCGTTTTAGTAATCTTTTCTATTTTATTATATATTATTTTCTATATTTCTATGAACTTAGAAGCCACAACGAATGTAATAGACAAACCCTTTCTACATTTCACAAAATGTGAACATCGCGCATCTGGGGATTTTTTAATTCAAATATCATAATTACATTCTTGCAGCACGCTCATCTACGTTTTTAGTTTCCGTAAAACTTAATCACTGGATTTATGTTTTAAATAAATGTATTTTGTAAATGTTTACTGATATGATAATCTCAAGTAACCATCAACCGATTAATAAGTGCGCTATAAATGGTGAAAAAGACACAGAGCACCTTAAAAGCAGCTATTAAGTAGATGTATCTAAATATTACCAGCTAAATAACAAGGCGAATTTGTTCGATTTTTCATGTTGCACGTCATACTGGCTTCTGGGTCTTGCGGAAGCCACTCTTGGCCTTTTCTTATCACGTTCAGCAGCCTTCCTCCACACCATGCTCGTAATGGTGATGCTTGGTCTTCATTGTTTCCATATACAAAGGATAGATCCATGTAAGATGTCGTTGATGATATCTGACATAAGGATTAATAATTACTTTGATTTATTGTGTATTTTGCTATTTATACTAACCTTCATTAGAATCAACCAATAAATATTAGAAAAAATGTTAACACATTTTTCAACTGTCTTGCCTACCTAGTTATTATCTACTATTGAATAAATTTGAATAAATACAAACAACGATCAACATTCAAAAACTAATTTTCGTAACAGTACAGTTTTTTTTTTTTGTATAAATTTTTACATAATAGATGTGAGATTTTAAAAACATTACCATATTTCTGACAACGCGTACGTATTTACAGCATTTATATTACTAACCGGATCAGCAGGAACTTTCGGGGCCGTGCAATTGTTATGTTTAGTTGTTTTTGTACGGTCGAATTCCAAGCATTTTATCCCTAGCGGGCTACGAACAGGGTCATTGACTGGAACTCCAATAGCAGCGCATTGAGCATTTGTAGATGCTTCATCGGTGTACATTCCGTTCGAAGTACAGCATACGGGAACCTCTGGAAAATGAAAATTATTTGTTATGACCGTAAAAACTTTAGTATTTTAAAACCTATTCTATGTTGTCACGTAATTAGCATAGTGTTTTATTGTAATTTTGATAAATAATATTGAAAGCTGTACGCGTTGGCCTTCAAAAGGCAAACAGAATTTTTTTTAGTTTTGATTTAATTCAGATGGTGAACGATCTCTCGGCCTATCTGGTGTAAATACTGGAGTTTCTAGACTTCACTACGGGAATTCCGTCATCCACCTTTAGACGTGAGGACGAAATGCAAATGTAGTTAACAATGGCTGTACCATCTTTCAGACCAGAACGCGTACTGCTTCGCGGCAGAATGGTGATAAATACCCGTGCGAACTTACATTAAGTCCTTCCACAAAAACACATAACATAAATCTGAAATTGATTAATTAAATCCGGTATTTTGCTGCGTTTCCATGCGTTTCGGAAACAAACGATCATACTATTTGAAATATAAAATTAATGAGACTTGAAATTAGATCGTGATTTTGATCCCCAAATAACATACCTGATGACGGCGGCGGGGCTGCCAGCGACATGTCGTGAGCTATAAGTTGGCCCCATTGCATGGTGAGGAGCGTGTATTTCTGGTCATTTATTTCTTTATTAGTGAAAACGCTTAATCGGATTTGACGAGCACTAACCAAGGGCTTTCCCGTACTTGATATTGGTAATGAGCTGATACCTAAGAAATAAAATTAATAAGAATAAGAATTTTCTTTCTGAGTCTTAAATTTAACTCGTCAGTGTCCTTAATTAGTTAATGTTATATTAATGTTATATTTTGAATTAATATACACTTTTTATACAACAAATAACGACTTTCTACGGATTTGAGTACTGAAGATAAATTATGTTATAATTATGTTAACTTTTGAAAGTGATTTTATTATTTTGCATTCATTTTTACTTTTTCTGTTAAAGATAAATTGGATGGGTAGGATCGAAGGACTCACAGAAAGGATTTAATCAATTCATGTGAGCTTGATAAGATGATATCATTCCTGCGAAGTCGTTTGTGAACAAACCCGCAAAATATAAAGTGATCACTGCGCAATTTCATAGAACGCATAAGCGTATCCGTTTATTTGATCGTCAAGAAATTTTATATCCATTTTTACATCGCTTTGTTTTTGTTTAACATATTTTTGCTACCAAGAAAACATGCGGCAGAAATACGTTTTGCGGCGACGCAAAATACGTTGTCTGTTTTCCTGCTAAAAATAAGGTGGGCCATAAAATAGCAAAAAAAAAACAATAATAATCTACCGATATTTAAGAAAAAAAACCAAAAATTCAGTTAAGTACCACTTTCCACTTTGTTCGCCAACCGAAGCTTTGTGTTTGTGTTTAGATGTTATTTGCGAGCTTTAATGTTTTTAAAAACATAAAATATATGACTTTTACTTGTCAAAAACGAGATAAAATGGAAAATGTTAATCGTGAATTTAAAGCTTGCAAATCTTGCGGTATCACGGTCACCATCATCGAATTATGGTCGAACTAAGACCCACAGCAATTGCACTAATAGTTTTACAAAACTTACCATCACCATAGTTATTCTGAACTAGTCTCCAGTACGGTGTCTCTGACATGCCCCATTCTGTGTGCTTTAGATTATTACACGATCCATCAAGAGTTCTATATTTTGAATCTTGACATGATTTCGAAGGCTTAGCACATGCCGAAGAATTGCCTTTTTCGGAATTTGAAAATACTTGGTGACTAAAAATGTAACTTGTGTTATAGTGTAATATAACATGCGTGTTTTCTTTACACGTTGGATCTGAAACTTTAGGATCTAAAGGCACAACTTTCAGTAAAGAATGTAAAGATCAGAAACTGAAATAATACTTATAATACGTTATCTTTGTATACTTCATTTTACACGCTTACACGTTTAACATGTTTAAAGAGATATATTATATATTATTATATATATTACTTATCTACTAACTACTTTATTATAGCTATTATAAGAGTATAAATTGACATACATATGACTGTCGTCGACACTATAGTTCTATGAAATCGAAGTGACATTTTTAATGTATTTTAATATCGGACAATTACTTTTGGTCACTTACCTAGGACAAGCTTTAGAGCATTTGTTACATCTTTCTAAAAAGTCAAAAGCAAGACAGTGACTTAACAGAAAAATATAAACAACTAACAACTTTATCATTGTCTTACCGGATGCTCCTGAAATAACAAAATTTACTTTCAGAAAGAAGAAAAAAAGTATAGGAACAAGCCCAGTTTTTCCAAGTAATTTTTTTATATATTTTTTTATTGCATAGATGTGTGGACGAGCTCACAGCCCACCTGGTGTAAAGTGGTTACTGGATCCCATGGACATCTACAACGTAAATGCGCCACCCACCTTAAGATATAAGTTCTAAGATCTCAGTATAGTTACAACGGCTGCCCCACCCTTCAAACCGAAACGCATTACTGCTTCACGGCAGAAATAAGCAGGGCGGTGGTACCTATCCGCGTGGACTCACAAGAGGTCCTACCACCAGTTAAAAAATAATTAAGTTAATTAAGTAATTAAAGTAAAATTAAAATTAAAATAAAAAAGTAAAATTAAAGTAGTAATTAATTAAGTAAAAGTTAATTAATTAAGTAAATTAATTAAGTAATTTACTAATAGTTGTATTTAGAACCACTTGAAATAAAAAAGCAGCTGAATACTTTAAACAAAAAAATAATAATTTAAAACGGCAGTCCGAGAAACCCTTTTCTAACTAGCTTTTAAATTAAAATGTACTGTTGAATACTATTTTTACTTTATATAACAAACGATCGAGTGATAAAATTCAAATTTTCTTCGTACTAAAATGGTAATAACTAAAATTTGTATTAGAAGACAAATTAAGTTTTATCAGTTGTTCAAACAGTTTGCATACATTAGGTATTAATAGCCAAAATTCCGATGTCTTTATTTAAGACTGTTTTTTTTTTTTACTTAAAAGACTGGCATTCAATTTTGACACCGGTAACTTATCGTTTGGGGTCATTTTGTTTTTGGCATCTACACCAACTAAAACGGTATAAGCAATTAGGACATAAAGTATAAAGGATAAGTGTATACCTGTAGCCTGTTTTTACAGTTCAAAATCTCACATTTAGGTTTTTTTTTTATTTATTGCTTAGATGGGTGGACGAGCTCACAGCCCACCTGGTGTTAAGTGGTTACTGGAGCCCATAGACATCTACAATGTAAATGCGCCACCCACCTTTTTTTTTTTTTTTTGTCGGGAGGAAATCGCCGGACTCCCACCCTCCACTGGGGTTGGAGGGTGGGGCATGTCGGAGTCGAACCGACTAAAACCTACTATT